GAGGGAGGGAGGGAGGGAGGGAGGGAGGGAGGGAGAGAGAGAGAGAGAGAGAGAGAGAGAGAGAGAGAGAGAGAGAAGAAATTGCTAGTGGGGGTGTGACAGCTTGCTCTGCTGTCCTGCTGTGGAGGGCCCATCAGGTAGGGGGTGCCATCAACCTGTCTTCTGGGTGGAAGGCCTTTGTGCTGATGTTTAGACATGGGCCTGAGATCAGTTGAGTGTCTATGTCCCTTTGGTAGTTGGAGAAGCTTGGGGTTTTAGTGCCAGTGAGGAGATTTAAATGATCATGCTGAGAGCAGCCCACTAACAGGGTAAGTAGGTCTGAGGTAGCGGTTCCAGTTTGGGTCTAGGGCAAAGCAGGCAATGTTATTTGCTGGCTCTAAATGTCCCCCTAGCACAAGGAACATGGAACTCACCCACCAGCTCCCCTTAGGAACCTTGGGAATTTCCCAGGTATTTTGAAGTGAAGAAAGAGATGGGAAACCTTGCCCAGGAAGGCCCCTGGTTTGGAGTTAGGAGACTGTGGCTGGTATCTGCCCCTTTAACGCCACAGGTCTGTCCTCTCACAGTGAGACGAAACTGACTGCTTAGAAGGACTAAACTGAGCCGACAGGCGATGGTGACACACACCTTTAATCCCAGCACTTGGGAGGCAGAGGCAGGGGAATCTCTGAGTTCAAGGCCAGCCTGGTCTACAAGAGCTAGTTCCTGGATAGGCACCAAAGCTACACAGTGAAACCCTGTCTGGGGGGGGGGGGCGCAGAGGGGAGGAGCAAACTGAACACATGTAAGAGAGTAAGGAATGTTGCCAAGCCAGGATTTGGTACTTCCTAGTGCTCGGCCCCCTCTGCCCTGGGCTTGGTGGACAGTGGAAGCTGAGCAGTGCCCAGAGGGCAGGAGTCTATGCAGGGCCCTGTGTGAATGCATCTCCAGATAGAACTGGTTCCAAACGTGAAAACAGGAGGTCAGATCTGGAGAGCCGGGTCCCAGGTCCCAAAGGACGCCCAGGTGCACAGGCCACCAGATGTGGGGTGCACTCGCAAGTCACCTTTAGGTACAAGAAGGCTTTGGAGAGCAGAGAACTGGGAGAGGTGACGTGGTCAGGGCTGGCCCGGCCCCGCTGGCGGAATAAACCCGTGGCTATTTGGCGTAGAGGCCCGGAGCAGCGTTTCTGTTTGGCTCTCGCAGTCCACAGAGCAAACACTGGCAGCTTGCAAGTCCCACTTGGGTTCTCACCAACTCAAACAGGCTTGGCCAAGACTTGGATTGATTTGCTTGGGACAGCAGAAGTTCTGCTTGCCCGGGCCTAACTGTGGAAAACAGGACTTTCTTCCCTGTATAACTCATAACAGGGCTGTCCTGAGATTTCTGTTAGTGCCAGGTTCTCCCCCCCTTCTTGCAGGAGAGATGTGGAATCTGAATTGGAGGTGGTTTCTCTGTTTCTGTTTTTGTTACTCCCCTCTACCACTGCTGAGTCCTCCAGCAATCTAGTGATGTGGAGACCATCTCTATTTCAGCAGCCTTTTGAAACTTGGTAGCTAGACACTGGGAGCAAGCAGTACACCTTGGTGTCTTTGAACAAACAACACAGGATGTCTCTCAACTGAACTAGTCTTCGACAGGCAGGGTTCTCTCTCTCACTGGCATCAGATCATTGCCTGTTTCTCACTCTGTCCTGGGCCCCACGTGGGCTTGCTCCATTGTTCTGCAAGCATTTGAAAAGGTGACTGAATTCCTCCGCAGTCCCCGAGAAAGGAGACTCGGGCAGAAAGGAGGGAGCCCAGTGGGACTGACATGTCTTCTTTAGACCACTCCTCCCTGGAGAGAACATCGCTGTGCCTGGTCAGCCAGGCCACCCTCTGCTGAGTGCTGTCTTATGTTTCTCCAGAGCAGTGCTTCTCAGTGCTTCCTAATGCTACAACCCTTTAACACAGTTCCCCATGCTCTGGTGACCCCAACCATAAAGTTATTTTGTTGCTACTTCCTAACTGTAATTTTGCTGTTATAAATTGTAATGTAAATATCTGATATGCCCCCCCCCCCCAAGGTTTCAAGACCGACAGGTTGTGCAGGGCCAGGGCTGGGAGGAGAACATTCTTAGCTCTTGGTTCTCCTCCAGGGTGGAGGAGAACCAGGGTAGCAAAGCAGAGGGTACTCATTGCACAGATGTGGGCTTGGTGCATCTGCTTGAGAGCAGCTGGGGGAAGGGAGGGGAGGGAGAGGGCAGAGCCTAGGCTGGGTAGATGGTCTCTGACAGTCTGATATTCTTCTGGGCTGAGAGTTGGATCCTGCCATTCCCTGAGAAAGGCAAGCAATCTTTGGGATTTTTATTTTTTGAGACAGGGTTTCTCTATGTGGAACTCAGTGTGGAACTCACTCTGTAGAATAGGCTGGCCTTGAACTCGTAGAGATTCACCTGCCACTGCCTTTGGAGTGCTGGGATTAAAGGTGTGTGCCACCACTGCCCAGCCTTTAGTTGCTATACTGGACCTTTTAAGTGGAGCCCAGTACTCTAATAGATTAGACCTATATTTATTTAGGTTACATTAAAGATCCTCTGGGGCATAGATGTCTAGCTCAGTGGTGGAGAGTTGCCTAGTGTGTGTGTGTGAGGTCCAGGTTTCCAAGATAGAGATAGGTAGAGTAACAGAGATATAGATAGATAAGACAAGATTATCTTTAAACTGGGAGCTGTTAAGAAGTCTAGGTGTGGTGCACGCCTTTAATCCCAGCACTCTGGAGGCAGAGGCAAGCAGGTCTCTGAGTTTGAGGCTAGCCTGGTCTACAGAGCTAGACAGCCAGGGCTAGGACAGCCAGGGCTACACAAAGAAACGCTGTCTTGAAAAACCAAAACTAAACCCAACCAACCAACAACAACAACCTTTTATAAAATTTGGACTAAGCCTCCAACTGGGCCTAGAAGCTTCCTCTAGTATCTCAGAGGTGGTAGCACCAAGCATGACTGTCTTTTGCAAAATGAAATGACCCAAAAAGGGAGCATGGAAGAGGCCACAAGGGAATGGGGAGTTTGTTTTCTAACTGCAAGAATCAGGGTTGATTGAAGCCTGTGCATACCAACCATGAGAGAGGGAGGGGCTCAGGGCAGAACCCCTACTGCCCTCTGACCCTTCCCAGGGTGCCCTGCCTTGGGACTGAGGCCTGAGGTGAAAAAAAAAAAAAACCCACAAAACTTGACACTGAGCCAGAGGAGGAACGAGCCAAGCAGAGGTCAGGCCAGGCCCAAAGGTGCAGCTTTCTGTCTTTGTTGGCCAAGGAAATCCTGCTTTCTGCTTGCTGGCACTTCCGTTTACCGGCCTCCTAAACACGTACAGATGTAAGCACAGAACCCCGACATGGGTGTCTTCATGGTTTCCATTGAGCAGGGAGCAAAACTGGGGTTCAAAGAGGCGATGTAATGGGTCTGGGGTTGCACAAGTTGGGAGGAGGAACAGGATTTCAACCCAGCATGCC